CAGGCCGCTCCCTGCCCGCGCACGTGCGGGGACGGCCCTTGGCGGCGGCCGTGCTCTACCTTTGGGCCCCGCAGGCTGGATGGGCAGGGCCCGGCGTGGCCGCGGCTCGGACCCAGCGCCAGGCCTGGCCCAGCAGGTGCGGAGGGGAGCGGCGTGTGGCCCGGTCCCGCCGTGCGGCTTGGGGACTTGGCACCGGGGAATGTGGCAGTGCTAATTGCCACTGCCAGCCTTCCCAGCCCGTGGGGAGCCCTGTTGGCTGGACACCATGGTTCCTTGGGCAGCATTGGGCCCGTGGGCCAGGGGTGGAGCAGCCTGCTTTAGCATGTTCGTGTGGACATGCAGGCACTTCCCACCACAGGACAGGTACCTGTTTTAAGCACAGATATGGCCTCCTTCCTCTTTCTTGACCTTAAAGTTACTCATTTTGCTTAGAGCTTAGTGAAAGATTCTCAGGGAGTTTCTCCCTTCATTTGTACCTAGACAATTTTATTTACCACAAACCAGGAGTTAAAATCTACGTTGAGGAGTGTTCCCATGGGCATTCCCTTGAATTATAGTCAGAAGAGGCCTCTTCTGAACTGCTGTATGCTGAAGATGAATCTTAAGTGATGGTGGGTAGCTGTCAAAGATGTGCTAGCCCTCATCTTCCATTGGGTATATTCACCATCTTGGCTTTGGATATCTTCAGTAAAATGCCATATGAAATGTTTTACTTTGGTGCAGGGTTGTCCCCCTAAAGTCAGAAGTGCTGTGTATGGCATTTATGAAGGCTATTTGAAAAGCCAAGTGAGTTCAGTCAGCTGGTGCTGCTTTACCCACTGCTTGGTTGAAGCACTTCTAGGATTTTAGTAAATTGGAGGGTGCTTTTATATCACAGGAAATAAAGACCAACATCTCCCCAATATCCAACAAGAGCATCAGAGAAGCAGAAGTCTTATTGGGTGAGTCATTCTGGCTCCTATTGGAACCACAGCACAAAAAACTGCAAGATACATCTGTCTATCCATCCACATGTGCTTTCCAGCTGTTCAGGTTGAGTCTTGGTCTGGGTGGTACATTTCACTCTGTGTAGACAGTTATACTAGGTAAGATCCTACTTTCATTGAGGTCAATACAGCTGTGATTTTTGCCTTTTGTGGGAGGGATAGTGGTCTGATGTTGGGGAAATATTAGTTATATTGGTGATGTTCATCTGTTGTGTGGAGTTTGCTCCAGGGTCCAGTACAATCTTGAAAGGCATCAGTCAGTGGTATCTCACAAGACCTGTTCAGTTATAAGGGGGAAGACATGAGGGGATGTGAAAGGAATAAGCTAGGAGAGGCAGGATTTAAAGTAGGTGCTTGTTAAGCATGGAGAAAGCAAACAAACTGTGGCTGGCTGGGAACACGATCTACAGAGGGGTGCCCAGGAGGCAGGTGCTCCCTTGTGCTTTGGAGTGTAACATCTGTTTGACCTTAGTGCAGCAGGGATATTGTGAGGCTTAGGGGAATGTGCATTGGAGGCCCTTAGGAAGGTACTGTGGAAACTCCAGCTGGGAGTGTTTAATACCTGTTCTGAAGAAGTTGCTTCCTGAAAGAGGTCAGAGTTGATGGAGCAGAGGGTGTGAATAGGACTCTGGGGAGGAGTCAATCATGGAAGCAGGCTGGGCTACTGCTGTGCAGCTGGGGAATGGACAGAAGAGTGGAGCATGCCTCACAAAAGGAAGCTGTTGCCCTCACCCAGCCCAAGGAGGTAGCTGCAGCTGGAGTTTTATTGCTGCCTTTGGCCTTTTATATTTTAAAAGTACTTCTTAAATCCCACTCCAACTCTAGAATGTGAGAAAACTGCCCCAGACATCTGTTTTACTTCTCATGGAGGTAATAAGAAACAGATCAAAGTGTAAAGACCTAAGCGCAAGTTGCTGAGGTGATTGGAGGAGGCGTCTCAATCTTCTGGGTCATGAAACATGATATATTTGGTGCTGCTCCTTCTGTGTTACAGCCACGGTTCAGACTTCTGATAGGCACGTTTGTTCATGGGCTGTGCTTTGTTTACTGATGTACAGCAACACTGTCATGGCCAAAGCCATCTAGAGAGACAGTGAGAAAAGTGATTACAGGTAATTTTGGTGCCCATGCATAAATTTTGTCTGTGGCATTTTGGGATGCAGTGATTTCGAGAGTGGGCCAGCATTTTTAGTGCCAACAACCTGTCTGTCCGCAACATATTTATAAAGCAGCAGTTGCCAGAGTTTTGGATTATGCTTTTGTTTCCAGATCTAGACCTTCCTGGGCTTTGCATGTTTGTGGGGGAGGGGGAGGTGAGTTATTCTGGTCTCTGGCCTCATAATTCAGTGTTGTGTCTTTTTCTCTTGCTTGCATATTTTCTTTTTTTAATTCTGGGGTGTCTATTTCAGTGTATTAATATGTGCAGAGAGTGTTTTGATTGTCCCCTTATTTCTAATGCTAATACTACTTAATGTAGGAAGTTTCTTATTAGATTGCATCATCCAGAATCCTTCATAGGAAGGTGGATGTGGTTATATCTGGGAAACCCAGAGGAAAGAAAGTAAAGGGCAGTGGATTGTTACGACGGAAACCTTGGGGTTTGATGGACAAAAAATGTAATGCATTTTGTGAACAGTTTCCCACAGGCATGAAATGTACAATTAAATACTTCCAAGGTTGTTACAGATTAAATCTGATCTTTTGACCTGTGTAAAGTCTTCAAACTTTGTAGAGTTTACTGAGAGAATTCTTAGACTTGGAGGAAAATCCTTAGAAAGTGTCCAAAGAGGAGAAGCAGGCCAAAGCTCATAAAACTTTGTTAGACTTTGCATGTAACTACTCCAATAATTATCTGGCTCTTCTAAACTTTTCATACTAGCCAAGGACCTATGGCAGCACTGGCTCCTGCAGTCACGTGAATAGGAGACATCTTTTTAGTTGTTCTGTGGTTGTGAAGAAAAGCTTGAAAACTATCATCTGAACATATCCAAAGATTCAAGAAGGGTTAATTTTGTTTACCTTTTAAATCTCGTGTTTTTAAAGCATGCTCATGGCTCTTAAGAACTGTGTTGAGTATATATGAGCACTGGGGTTGGCAATCCTGCTCCTGCTTGCTATTTGGTAAGCCGTGTGCCAGTTGTAGTTGATCTGTGTGTTAAGCCATATGTCTGCGTTTCGGTGTCTAGTGTCTCTGTTGTACTTTTCTACCTCTTCAGCTGTAACTGAAAAGATCCGATCATGCTGTGACTTTTTAACTCTAGTCCTTGACACCTAGATAGTATGACATTGGCAGCATTAAAAATAAGTAGGTAGGTGGAATTACTTTCTGTAGGTGGAATTACTGTGTGTAGCTCAGGTATTGCAAGAAAATCAGACTCCCATCTTTTATTTAAAAAAAAAAAAGAGAGAGAGAGATCAGTCAAGTGGCCATTTACTTTCGTCCACCTGTAATAGTGACGCTTGCATTCACACAAGTTGCAAGAGATATGCTTCCCTACAGGGAAATCTACAAGAGAGTTGTGCCAGTTGGTCACCAGGTTATCAGCAGGGGAAATTCACTGTTGATGGATGGAATTGTGAACTTTCAGTTAATGTCTGGCATTCCTACTGAATCAACAGGAAAAGAGTTTTCTCCTGGAAGCGAGAGGGAAAAGACATTATCTCACCTGCCTTCAAATAGCAAGTGTATGCACTTGTACTGTTACAGGGATAGATTTGGTGAGTCTCTCTAGCTTCTCATAGCATCAGTGTCTTGGGATCCCTGAAATGTGAGCTGTGAATGCTCACGTAGTTTGCAGTTACCCTCATCTTCAGTAGAGAAGCAGGAGCTGAGATCATGTGTAGTCTTACACCATGCTTCCTTTTCTGCTAAGTCTCCAGCCTAGATGGACTACATGTCACAGTGTATAGGTCTCCATTTGTAGCCGGCCCATGAAGACCGCGTGTCCCAGACTTGATTCAAGCAGCTAGAGACTAGCTAGCCTTTTATGCAATTTCCTATCTTGATCCAAGCGGCCGCTTCATGTTAGTTGCACTCTCACCCATGTTACAAAGCATAGTACATAGTTTGGTTTTCAAGCTGTAGGTCATCAGGGGTTCTGCAAAGAGATTGGGGATTATTGCAGAGTAGGTTGGGAGGGGATGCAGAGCCATTTCTGAATTGGGTCTCCTGGCTTCATATCAGTCTTACGGATAGGGTAGGGGTTCTGCAGCAGCAGAAGTACTATGAAAGGGTTCCATGACTTTAGGAAGTTTGAAAACCACTGTTACAGAGGAAGCTTGGGACTGCCTGCTTCCTTACCAAGCTCCTGGAATGCTGCAAGAGTACTCCTTAGCTGGGTGAAATTTGGGTGCCTGTGTTATAAGGCTTGGCCTCCTAGTTCCATTTATCAGCATTTGATGATGCAAATGAGTGCTTTGCTTCTTGCAGCAACAGCATGTCAAGGAGAAGGCCACTGGAAGCAGGGCAGCTATTTTATCTTTCCATCTCCAGCAGAAGGATGCCTATGAGGCTATGAACAAGGCTCAGTCCTTCAAAGAGAATCTGACTACAGAGATGCCAACTTCCTCCTGATTGTTCATAAATTTGTAGAATTTAAAGCCAAAATAAACCATTAGATCATCTGGCCCCGTGTATAAGACAAGCTAGAGCATACCAAAATCTGGGGGGAGGTGAGCACGCTAGCAGGGAGCGAGAGATTGCAGAGGGATCTGGATAGGTTACAGGGGTGGGCTAACAGGAACAGGATGCGTTTTAACACGGACAAGTGCAGGGTGCTGCACTTGGGCAGTAGGAACCAGCAGCACACTTATACAATGGGGAACTCCTTACTCGAGAGCACGGAGGCAGAAAGGGATCTTGGAGTCATTATTGACTCCAAGATGAACATGGGCCGACAATGCGAGGTCATGGTTGGCAAGGCTAACCGGACCTTGTCGTGCATCCACAGGTGCATCTCGAGTAGAGCCAAAGAGGTGATCCTCCCCCTCTATGCGACACTGGTCAGGCCACAGCTGGAGTATTGTGTCCAGTTCTGTGCGCCCCAGTTCAAGAGGGATGTGGACAATATGGAGAGGGTCCAGAGGAGGGCCACCCGCATGATCCAGGGACAACAGGGCAGACTCTACAGTGAGAGACTGCGGGACCTGAACCTATTCAGCCTCCACAAGAGAAGGCTAAGGGGGGACCTGGTGACTGTCTATAGACTCACTAGGGGGGACCAGAGGGGTTTGGGGGAGACGCTGTTTCCCCTAGCGCCCGCTGGCATAACAAGGAGAAATGGGCACAAGCTGTTGGAGAGGAGGTATAGATTGAACATCCGCAAAAACTACTTCACCGTTAGGGCGGCTAGGAGCTGGAACCAACTTCCAAGGGAAGTGGTGCTGGCCCCTACCCTGGGGGTCTTTAAGAAGAGGCTGGATGCCCACCTAGCTGGACTCGTTTGAGTCCCATTTCTCTTTTTGGGGTTTTTGTTGTTCTCCCGCCCTGGCGGGGGGTCGGGCTAGAAGATCTACTAGGTCCCTTCCGACCCTTAATCTATGAATCTATGAATCTATGAATATCAACCTGGTGGGATCCTACCCATGACTGGGCGGTGGGCATTCAGGGATACACACTATATAGAAGGGACAGGACTGGGAGGAAAGGCGGGGGGGTTGCCCTCTGTCAGAGAGCAACTCATATCGTCAAGAATTAGCTTTGGGGCAGAGGAAGGTCAGGCAGAGGCACTATGGGTCAAACTTCAAGGGGGACAAGGCGAAAGGGATCTTAATGGTGTGTGTCTACTATAGACCACCCTACCAAGGGGTTGAGCTGGACCAGGATTTCTCAATACAGCTTATGGAGGCAGTTGGGTCTAGGGATGTCATTGTCATGGGGGACCTAAACTACCCAGATATCTGCTGGGAGGAGCAGTCAGCCAGGTCTGACCATTCATGTAGGTTCCTAGCTGAAATACAGGACCTCTAGGAGGTGCACAGCCCCACTAGGGAAAATGCCTTGCTGGACCTGGTCTTGGCCACTGGGGATGACCTGGTGAGGGGACTGCAGGTCCTTGACCACCTGGGTGACAGTGATCATCGCCTGCTGGAATTCACCATCCAGCACAGGGGGTTGAGGGCTTATACCGAGACTAAAGCCCCTGACTTCAGAAGGGCCAACTTCAACAAACTTAGGAGATTAGTGGGGGAGGCACTGAGGGCCCAAAAGGTAGAGGATATGGGAATCCATGAGGGATGGTCGTACCTTAAGGGGACGATCCTCCAGGCTCAGTGTGACAGTCCCCGAGAGAAAGATGTGGGGTAAGAATGCTCTGAAGCCCCCATGGCTCTGCCTGAGGGCCAAAAGGGAGGTGTACACCCGCTGGAAGAGGGGGGCCATCACCAAGGAGGAATACTCCTCCTTGGCCCATTAGTACAGGAGGGCCATTAGGAAGGCCAAGGTGGGGGTGGAGCTTAGGCTAGCGACCTGGATTAGGGACAACAAAAAGTCCTTCTTCAAATACATTGCGAGTAAGAAGAGGGCACCGGGTAATGTAGGGCCCCTGTTAGACTCAAATGGTAATCTTGTGGCTATGCCAGA